ATAGAGGACCTACAATAATCTACAGTATTTGAACAATAATGTGTTTTTTGAACATTAAAGCATGTCAACATATTCTGTTACACCAAATACACAAAATAATGATCTTTAAAATAGCATCATATGACCCCTTTAAAGCTAGAGTATATGTTTAGTAATAAATGGTGTGGCCGTCTTGTTTTTGCCGCTGGCATCGGTCATGTGACGGTATATCTCAGTAGTACCGTCACAGTAGAGCACTCAGTAGTCGACTGTATAAACATCTGTGCTACGGTTCATGCAGCAGATGCCAAAGTGTTTCCTCTTGAACATCCAGAGAAATTAAGCCAAACATGTCCATGGCACGGAGGAATTCATGCACTCCTCGGGTGAGTGAGTACAATTATGGAAATAGACTGGTTTATGGTTCACAGATTAGTAATTCAATCTGACAGCTTGTTTTAAACACAACCCGTTTAGTTTCTGCTTTGTTCACTGGTTAGTTGTTCATCATGTTCATGATCTTCGCTGTAATGCAAAACATTGAGCTTTATTAAATGCAAGCTCACCGTGTTCAGAAGCTGCAGATGCGTGTTGATCGCGGTGGCTGCGTGTCGTTTCTTCATGTGTGGGTTTGAGCTGCTGAACACATGCAGCTCTTCATCATCCAGATCAGAGTAGATCGTTGTGGTCCAGTCGAGGTTCATGTCCTGATCCTACAGCAGGTCTACAGAGCTGAAGAGAGTTGAGGCATGTGATGTTGAGCGCCGGGACTGTGCTGAGCGTCCCTCGCCGTGTTCTCAACAGAGATCGTTTGTTTGGAAAAGCACATGACTGATCCCGCAGCCTCAAAACCTGATTCGGTATCATCAGTCAAAGCCTTGAGTATGAAATATTAAAAGCCCAATCTAAACACAAACATTTCTGAGATACTATTATAATTTTTCTTAATATTTTAAATTAGCTTTTTTAAAATTTTCCTCTTTTATTTTTATTTCAGTTAAAGGTTTAGTCATTTAGTTCTGTGTTTTTGACATTTTTATTATATTTTTAATGGCTAGCCTGTATAGTTTCATATAGAACGGAGAGTTCCGGTGCTTGATTCTGATTGGCTGAGTAATGATTGGCTGAGCCGCGTTCGAAGCTGTTGTAAATGACGCTACAAAGTAACACACACCTTTGTTTACGTTTGTGTGTTGCTCGGCAACCACTTTGTAGCAACCACACCTGTTTCTGAGGAGCTACATTGTTTGGTGGAAGAATACTGTGTTTATTAATATCATTACACTTTATTTGCTCTGCTTTATTTTGTGAAACCTTACTACGTATATGGAATAACCGTTTTATAAAAGCAGTAACCCCCGTGAAGCCGTGGTTTACAGTGAATTTATAACAGCTAAAGGGTTTTAGACTCCGCTATGTGCCTAACAATGCCCTTTAGCTGTTATAAATTCACTGTAAACCACAGCTTCACGGGGCTTTATTAATACTTATTTATTAATATTTATTTAGTTTTAATTTCACAAATTTTAAGTTAAAGTAAAAATGAGAAATATTGCCTTTTACGAAATGCATCTTTCATTTTATTTGTGATACTATTATAATTTTTATTCACGTCTTAGTAATTAAGTTCAGTTTTTTTTTTAAATACGTCATATAAGTTTTATTAATTTTCATTTCACTTTGAAATTAAACATTTTAAATGAAAATAAATGCTGCCTTGACGTCTAGGTGAAAAAAATCACTTTGCATTTATTTATTTTTTGTTTAAGATGGGGATCATAACTATAATAACCTTTATTACTAATGCATATTGTTGTCTTATAGAAGAGCATATGTGACAAATGTTGAGTTGATATGCAGATGAAAACATGTTCAGCTCATGTCCGTATCATGTGTAGCACGTTCTGAGTGCTCCGGCGAGAGTGTATGGGTGAGTGTGGCACATGTAGTCTGATGCGGAGTGTGTGTGTGTGTGTGTGTGTGTGTCAGCTGCAGGGCGCTGTGGTCAGCAGGATGAGTTCAGACGGAGGCGGGAGGCCTGTGAAGGTGGGCTCGCTGGTGGAGGTCATCGGGAAAGGCCAGCGCGGGACCGTGGCGTATATCGGCGCCACCCTGTTCGCCTCGGGGAAATGGGTCGGTGTGATTCTGGACGAACCCAAGGGGAAGAACGACGGCACGGTGCAGGGCAAACGCTACTTCACCTGTGAGGAGAATCACGGGATATTCGTCAGACAGTCTCAGGTAAGAATCTGCCATTTATGTCAATTATTACGTAAAACGGAAACACTCTTTTTTTTTAGAGCTCGACCGATATATCGATTTACCGATATTTTCCCGATATTTAAGCATTTTACAATAATCGGATATCGGATTCACCGATAAACGCCGCCATATTGTGGATGTTTTGAGAATTGCGCGCAGGATCACCATTGCAGCGCGTCTGAGGGGAAACAAGACAACAACAACGGCGTGCACGGGTACTTAATTTACTGTAGTTAGTAAACTTTATTTAACATAACAGCCATTAATGCACAAATTAGATGTATTACATAAATGCCTGATATGCAGCTTGGTTCGAAGAAATAGAGATGAACTCACGGAGTCACGTACGATAATCCGTCAAGTCCTGTCCCAATAAAGACGTAACTTTGCATGAATTAAATAATATGCAGCCAAGATATAAGATATATGTTGGAAATAAAAGTGCTGAATTTACTTCTCTCTCTGTTGTCTATATGCTCATCGTCTCGTGAAGTCGGAGTCACGTAGGCTAAGATAATCCGTCAAGTCCTCTCCCAATAAAGACGTAACTTTGCATTAATTAAATAATACAGCCATGAATGAGCGCGTGTTGGAAATAAAAGCGCTACATTTACTTCTCTCTCTGTTGTCTGTGCTCATCATTAGTCTCGTGAAGCCGCTTTCATATCACTGTTCACTCACCGGGTTGATGCGGTTGATGCTCAGGGAATGTTCCAGCACGGCCTCCGCATGTAACTTTTTACAAGATTCACTTGTTTAAAACACCCTAAATTGTATTAATATTTACTGTATAACCATTATTTCGCTAATAAACATCTAAATAGATACAACTCTATGGAAATGAATTATTTATTATCTTCACGAGCGATCGCAGTTTGAGTATAGTTCTGTGTAAATGCATAGATAAACTGTGCTGTCAGCAGGCATTTCATAATCTAGAA